CCGCACACATATCCTGCATATTGTATACATCATATTGTATCGAATGTAATGAAAATGTTTAAGTAGAAAAAAAATCAAAAAGAGATTATCAACATGGTAAGTATTATATCATTTCTCATTAATCATTTCTGTTTTATTTCTGTTTTTTTATTTCTCAATAATATTTAATTTACTACTTTTTAGGGTATGCTTTACTCTAACCAAACTTATGTGCACGACTTGAATTAAGAAGATACAAAGATGATGTGTATGAATTTGTATATGAAATCCCTAGGGAGAGATGGTCACAAGCATATGATGTTGAGGGTCGATGTTACGACACATTTACAGTTGTGACTTCAAGTACCTCCCAAATGAAGCATACTGGCCTACATCCACAATTTTTTAGGAATGGTTGACAAATCCTCAATTGTGTAGGAAATTACGGGGTCGACTGAATCGCAAAGAGAGTCAGGTCTACCCAAACTTTGTGGTCACTACAAAGGTGAAGGCCATAACAGAAAACATGGTCCACATCTTTCAAAATATAGAGCTGGACACTAAAATAGGCGTTACAAAATATTATGTAATGTAACTAGGTTTTTTAACTATGTATTTTTAACTTGTATTATTTCCACTATGTTTATATAATTGCAAACTATTAGTAAATAAAGGTAAACTAATGGTAAACTAATGATTTTATCTAACCATAGGCATTTTACCCTTAAAATAAAACATTGAAGGTTAAAATACTTAAAGAAATTAAAATCAAAATAATTATTTTATTTAAAAATTAAATTGAAAATGGAGGAGATAGTTTTTAATTGCAATTTACTCAAAAGTAATCGTTTTGATAAGTATAACTTCTCATTTAATGATAAATAAAATTTTGGATTTTGATGTGGCAATAATTACTTAATTAATAAAGACAACTTCATACATAAACTAAAACCATACAAATTAATATTTGTACACATGTCATTTTCTATGTTTTTAGATCTCTCTATAATTCTTTCACTACGTGGGATTAAGACATCTTCGTGTTTGTCTTCTTTCGTAGTCTTCTTCTCAATTTCTATACTAAAATATTTAATTTTTTTCTTCCCTCTCTATGAGTCGTTTGCTATGCTGCTTTGGTAAATCTTCATAATTTTTCTTCTTTTCCTATTCTATTTTCATTTTCTTCTTCTTATGCTCTTCAACTATGTATTTTATTGACTCCTTTTCCCACTCTTCATCCAAAGAAGAGCTTGAATCCGAATCATCGATATCCGAGTTTGTGTTGTGAAATCATAAACAACGTTAGCCAAATCAATCTCAATTTTTTCCACGACCACATATTTGATTTTATCAATTTTCTCACTTCTCATCCTAATCTTCACCCTAAACCCCTATCTATACTAAAATCACCAAAGTAGCCATTGGAACTCGTCACGCTGGGGTGATGAGTTCCACTGAATTTAAAAAATAATTTGACCGTTCCACAACTGTCACCCCAACTATCAAAATTTAAATTTATACCGTTGGAACTCGTCATATCGACGTGATGAGTTCCTTGGAATTTTTTCAATTTTCAAAATTAACATTTTTTAACTAATCACTGGTATCCGATCTATTGACTGACTAATACAGATCGAGTACTTCAGAGGCGAGGGCAACCCTCTCAACCCAGTTTGCTCAATCACAAACGCAGGATTCGAACTCCTGACATTGTTTAAGGAACCTAGTGTCTCATCCCACTAGACCAACTGGTTGTTAGTAACATTTTCTTTAATTCCAAATTTCAAAAAATAACATATATTTTTTAAAAAATTTATAATTTTATATACTACACTAAATATCAAGTAAAATTTCAAAAAATTCAAAAAATTAAAAACTTTAAAAATTACACTTTTAATTAAATATTTCAAAAAATAACATATATTTTTTTAAAAATCAACTTTTATAAACTACACTAAATATGAACGAATTTTTTAATTAAATTTTATTTTAACTAAAAGTTATTTTTTTTAATTAAAGATTTTTTATTTTTGTTTACATATTTTTCAAAGTTCTTTTAATTAAAACTAAAGTTTTTACTCCCAATAAAATGTTTGATTTCAAGGGAAAATCAATCAAACCCAAACATCTATTTATACTACTCTACCCAACGACTAGTTTTTTCAAATTGAAAATAACCGTTGAAACTCGTCACACCGGCATGACGAGTTCCACTGATTTTTTTTAAAAAAAAATTTGACCGTTCAACAACTGTCAATCCAACGGTCAACAAATTCAAAATTATATCCATTGGATCAGCATTAAAATAATATATTTTTTTACAAGGCTTTTAAAATTTTCTAAAATATTATTTTTTATTTGGATATTAAATAAATTCAGGCTGTGAGACCCACGTGATAAGACCCGTTAAAAAAATATATCACATGAAACTCGTCACGCTGGTATGATGAGTTCTATGGTCACTGTTATATTTATCTTAGATTCCAAAATAAAATTCCAGATACCCTATTGGGCTAGATAATCCAACCACCTGGATTATTGGGCTAAAATTCCCGTGTTTTTTCCCTTTCTATTTATAGTTTCCACGACTTGGTCTAAAAATTACGACCAAATTACGGTGATTACATTGGTCACTCAAAGTGACCCTTGAAAACAAATCAAGTGTCTAAGTTATTTAAAACTTATACAAACATGTAACATAACTCAAATACATGCCACAATTAAAATATAATTTGAAAAGTTTATAGTTTCATACTTTAATTGAAAAATGAGACTACACCTTTGATTGTTGAACTGATCCTACATCAAGATAATTTAAAAGGAAAAAATAGAAAAAAAATAAGCTATAGAGTTTAGTGTATCCTCTAAATACAAATAGAAGTAAACACAAAAACATAACTATTACAATTTAACATATTATGTTGTACAATAAATTAATCAAGTAAATCAATAAATTTAACTACCTATCACCTGAACATCATAACATAGGACTCTAAAACATCAAGTCTCCTTACAACCACATAGATGGAGAATTACCCTTCGAAGAGGAACCCAAGTTAAGTTCACATTTGAAAAGACAATAAATATGTAACACCTCAAACTCATCCTTTACTTAACGTTGAGTTCACGAGTGCAATCGATCACCTAAGTGATCAGTGACTTCTCGACTCTGATTAAAATATGATTACACAAAAATTTAAAAAATATTTATAATAAATACAAAAAATATATATTTATAATAATTGGAGCTCATTTATTTAAAACTAAATACATAATAAAATATTTATAAAATATCTCGAATAATAAAAATAAACCATAATTCTACATGCACATATAAGTCATCCATGTTGCACTCTAGTACTCTCACTAAGACTCCTCCAATGATATCATTAGCCCATCCCGATTCATGGAACCTATAATATGCAAATGTAAACAATCAGAAGAATGAGCCAACATGCCTAGTGACTACAACTACTCTATATATTTCATGAGTTCCATAAATAATAAAAACACAAGTCATATATGAACATATAATTCTATTAAGAAATTATGATAACGATAGAAGCATTATTATAAATTTGGCTATTTTTGTTTCTTAGAGTAACTGTTTCACTGTGATGATTAGCAACTTGAAAGTTAAAATTGGATTTCTAAGTTTGTAATGTACTTCAAAAGGAACTTAGTTTCACTGTCTCAAACAACTGTTTTTTCTCCCTAGCTCTTAAATGCATTACGAGTTTATTTGTATGCCTGCATGTAAGAATGTATGTCTCGTCTTTTGCATGTATGAGTGTGTATGTATGTCAGTATGTGGATACATGTATGTATGTATATGATTTTACTATTTGACAAGAGTATCGAATCGAGTTCAACCCTTTGATCTCGGGAGAGACTCACACCTAGGATATGGTCAAACATATGTATCTCTGCAAATCTACGAATGAAAACAACTTTCATATGCGTCTACGAGTGCGTGGCTGTATGTATAAACAACTCTGGAATGTTAACTAGCTTGGTTGCCATCAGTTCAGTTCTTAACAAACGGATTTTTTTTCATTTCTCTTTCTGTTACCCGCAAGTTTATATGATTCTGTTACTTTGGTTATAGAAGAAAAATGCTCGAATTATTACAGCAGAAATTCCTCATTGTAGGAGTAACGAGAAAATCAAGACAGTATGGGACAGGAACTTAACAATGGCATTCTGTGATCTTTGTATAAAGGAAAAAGATCATAATTGCAGGAGAGGAACTTACTTTAAAAATTAATAATTATATTAACATTGAAGATGATGATCCGCAAGAACGAATAAAAGCTTATGTTAAAGAGATGTAGAAGAATGTAAACTGGATTAAGTTTAATGTACAAAAGGAAGACGTTGGATCAGCGCTACAACTTGAGCTTTTCAGTTCGTTGGTGGATGCCTTATTAATTGATCTCTTTTTACTTTAGTTTAATGAACATTGAGTATTTTAGAGATAGAGTAAATGGAGTGCTATATTATTTAACTGTTTACACAGAAAGTATGACAGCCTTTTATAGCCCCTATTCACCTAGCTAACCATAACTGGCTGTAACAACTTCCATAACAACTTTGAAGAACAACTTTATAACAGAAACCCCACTGCAGCACGTGAACAATATTGGCTAATATTCTCCCCACTTTCTTCTTCTCATCCTTTTAACACGGTAGAACACAAACCTTATCTCGGAACACTTCAAACGCTGCCTTTGCCAAGGGCTTAGTGAAACCATCAGCAACCTGAAATCCAACAGGCACATAACTCACCGAAGCTGGTCTGCTGCAACCTTTTTCCTAACAAAATGAATATCAAGATCAACACGCTTTGACCTAGCATGATACACCGGATTAGCACTCATAGCAACCGCACTGGTATTGTCACACCAAATGACAGGTCCATCCAGCGACTGCAGGCCAAGATCATTCAATAAAGCACAAATCCACGTAACCTCAGCAACACTACGGTACTCAGCTTCCATGGTCGAACGAGACACTGTCTTCTACTTCTTTAAGGCCCAGGCAACAAGACAGTCACCAACAAAGACACCATAACCAAACATAGACCGTCGATCGCCAGCCCAATCAGCATCAGAAAACGCTTTCACACTCAGTCTAGCATCCACAGCCGAGAACACCAATCCATAATCTAAGGTACCAACCAATAGCGTAGGATACGTTTAACAGCCATCATATGCGCCTCACATGGTGCCTGCATGAACTGGGCAACCTTGTTGACTGAAAAAGCAACATCGGGTCTGGTATGACAAACGTAGAACAAGACGCCAACTATGCTCCGGTACTCACGCATTGGATAACAACACACCATTTTGTACTGCTAGTTTAGAGGCAGATACCATTGGAGTACACGTTGGAGTGGCTTTAAGCATATTCGTCTTCTCCAGCAAGTCAAGGGTATACTTCCTTTGACTAAGAGCCAAAGCAGCACCATTCCTCTTAACCTTAATTCCCAGAAAATAAGAAAGAGAATCAAGATCCTTGAGGGAGAACTTTCTATGCTACATATGACTGTCATAGCAAAGTGTTTATTGATCTTTTTTTTTCCAGTTTCTTGTATATAAGATCGATAATGCTCATATATAAATGTGCAGATAATGCCCGAGGTTACGAAGTTAAAAAATGGCGGTATTGACCCAGAACTGGAAAACAAATTAGATTGAATTATCAATGACGACGCAACTTTCATGCACACATTTAGTTTACAGTCGATTGATGGAATCGATGATGATGAACTGCCTAAAATAGAGGCCGAGGAGGTTGTTGTCGCTGTAGAGGAGATTCAGATGCTGAAAAAGACAATGAGTAAACATTTGCATGCGACAGATAGCCATTTTATAGAATAGAATCTTCCAGGTCACTCCGAACCCGATAACGGTATCGACAGGGCCTCATTGGTAAGTACTATAAGATCTCGTGCATTGGAACACACGATTATGGACGCGAATCCGCTAATATGGAACATTTTTTTTCCAAGTAAAATGTCCTAGTATATGAAAGAGTGAAAAAATGCTTTTGTTGTTGTGGAATAAAAAACCTTCGTATATTAATACATGTATTTAATTTATTCGGGGCTATTAGCGGGATTCACTTTTTGGGGAATATGAGTCGAAGTAATAACAAAAATATTTCTAATGGAACATCATTCACAATCGTTACAAAAAAAAGTTCAATGTGGAAAGTTGAGTTATTAAATTAAAAAAAAAATTAACGCATAATAAGTAAAATAGAAATGATAACCAAGTTAAGTTGTTACATTTGTAATTTACCCTTATTTTATTTACTACTCAAATTAAATAATTGAGACAGCTGAATATTCTGTTCACTGCAAATCAGAGGCTCAGATTAAAAAGGGTGATAGATTAAAATTCCTTCCCTTTCTCATTAGCGATCAAATTGAAGCGCCAAAAATATGGAGGAAGAAATGGATGAAACCGAAGCCCTCCCTCAGGTTGATTTGACTTCCAAGCTTATATTTCTTCGATTTTTGTTTTCTGTAAAATCTGTTTGGTTGCTCTGAAAATGAGAGGAAAAGAAAGAAAGAAAACAAAGCAAAAGAACTTGAAAATGATTTTTCTCGCTTGTTTTCTGTTGATTCGTTTTCAAATTAAAAATAAAGAACTGAAACGCTCAACATTCTATCTAAGGAAAATAGAGAACCTTGATTTTTGTGTCCTATGGCTTTTAAAGTTTGTTTTCTGATTTTGGCTTTCATCGTTTTGATTTCTGTACTCTTCACTGAATTTCCATCATCCAAACTGAGTGGAATCAGGTGTTTATTCCAACCGGCTTTATAACAGCTCAATCTTCCATTATTCATTGCCCCATTCGCTGAATTAAGGAATTCCAGAACTTTCAATTCATGCAACCGCATTTCTTTTAATAAACTTTTAAAGTTTATTTGGTTGCTTTTATTGATATTTATTTGATCACCGGTAATGTTACTTTAAGTTTATTATGGTCCTAAGAAAAAATTGTCTCCAGTAAAGATGTTATGATTTATTTTTTTGGCTAATGCATCTGTTTGGACGGATCTAAATTAAGCAGGTCTACATGGCTTGCATTCACCACGGTCATCGGTGAGCTTCATCTTTGATTTCTGTTTATTTTCCATTTCCTTATTCAGCATTTAAAATGTGGAAAATAAAAAGGTAGATTTAACTTTTGACAAGTAAAACCTACTCAAAAGTAAGTGCAAACATGAATGATTTCGTTAAAGCTTTTAGTTATAGTGTATGGTAAGAAAATTTATGTCTGGAATCTGGAACTGGAACAATTTGTTTTTTTTTAATCAAACTCTTCTGTGCAGAATTGGAATTTCCTACTATGATTCCAGCATTCGTCAGCTTAATGTAGTAGAAGTTTGGGATGATGGTAGCTCAGACTTCCCACTGATTGAACTTGGTATGCGATTCTTTTCTATCTCATTTTCATTTAGCCAGTTCTAATTTCTAATTGATCATTATCTGATTCTTTGTTTTTGTCAATTTTAGTTAAATATCAAGCAAATCCAGTGATTATATATACAAGTACAAGAACCGAAGAATCTTTTCTGTCAGCTTTGCAACGAAGTGGTAACTCTCTGTGTTTGATTCTTATATAAATTATCTTATCAGCCTGTGAACCTTATTTACTCTCTAAAGTAATGCAGATGGAATGATAGAGGCTACCACAGTGAAGCTTGTTAAAAGCTCGATATTCACATATGAACAAGCATGGCACAGGTATAAAACGTACACTAAATTATATTTTGGCATCATTTTGTTGATGTCTCCAAGATTATATAGATATAAATGAACTTCTAGGATGATTAAATTTCTAAATTGAAGCATTTAAATTTGGGTTCATATCTTTGACATTGGAAATCTCAAAATACTACCAGCCTGTCCCTACCATTTACAGCAGCAAGGAAAGCCTAAGATTATTTTAATCAATTTTCATACCGATACTTGACCATAAGATTAACATTCATTGGATGCTTGACTGAGAAGCTCCTACATTCTGTCATCTGAAGCATAGTATCAAACTTAGGGAAGACATGGTAAATGGTCGGTTCCCAATATTTGGAATAAGTCAACTAACTAATATGGCAATATACACGTTCATGCTTCATATCTGCTGCTGGTATGGATTGATTGGAAGAATTTGTTATTCACTCAGTACGTTAGTTCTTATTGTGAACTAATAGGGTAATATACACGTTCATGCTTCTTATATTTCTCATCATTTACACCTAAAACAATGTTTGTCAATTCCAGTTTTAGTCATTGAAATTTCCCCTCGCCCTTTTCTCATTGTTTTCTTATTTGGCTATTATAGGTTGATATACCTTCGAGTAACAGGAATGGATGATGGGTTAAACATCAAGGAGAGAATTTGCTACGTAGGCCATTAAAATATGATCCATTTTTCTTTGCATGTGATTATTTATGCCACCAGTCCTTTATAGCATAATCTCCTAACTAGATTACATAATTTTATTTACTCCATTTGCTGTCATGTCTGATATAATTTAATTTGCACTAAGATTACATAATTTCAGCGCCAAGTCATGGTTTATAGAGTTTTATGTAATTTGCAAATATTTTTATAACATGATAATGTGTAAGTCATAAAATTATGATACATTTTTTTGCATGTGATTATTTACTCCACTGGTCCTCGATAACATAATAAGATGAGAAATATAAGAAGCATGAACATGTATATTTGTAAATATTTTTATAACATGATAATGTGGAAGTTTCAAGGTTTCTGTAGAACTTTATGAAAATACTATTACATTCACTAAATAGTTACTTAATGTAAATTTTTATCTAAATGTTTTGAGAAAAAAAGGCAATATTCTGCTCATTATAGCGTCTTTGTTTCAGTTTTCGGACAAATGAGATGTGTTCCTAATAGCATCCTGGCATTAAAAAACTAAAGGAAAGAGGTGTTTACCTATATAAATTCTGGTGGCGTGTTTGATCCTTTTCTTTTGGGGTTGACAATTCCAATTCTTCTGAGCATAATATCAGTTCTGCTGATATATGCTTGTTCTTTTTGCCTTTTTTTCAACTGTTGCAGCTAAGTTCTATGATGGACATGGGAAGTGATATCCAAGTTCGTGTAAGTGGGGGCCTTCTTGCTATATTAGAGAATGAAAGAATTGTAGATACCCTTGAGCAAAAGGAGTGTGGGACTGCTTCAATCACAATTGATTCTGTCACTGAAATTTCATTGTATCATTTTATGTGAATTGATCGCAATGCTTACAGGATCTATTCTTCTGGTTTTCTTCTCAAATTTTACTTCCTACTTGGAAATATAACAATAAATTCAGAAGACAAAACTCAGTATTTATTGCATACCTTGACAACCTAAAAATAGGGACAAATTTCTTAAGCTTGACGCCGCAGCACATGAGGCATTGCAGACCTTTCAAGTAGATAAACATCCAAGTCATATGGGAATTGGTAGAGCAAAAGAAGGGTATTTACATCTATTAACTGAAAGTATGATTTCTTGTTAGGCATATGTTTAGATGTTTTAACTTGTACTTATATCTGATAATGCCCTAATTTTTAGGTTCTCGCTGTTTGGAATCATGAACAAGGTTTGCATTGTTTCTTTTATTTTTCATATTATAGTATCTTACACTGGAATAATTCATTTTCTCTTTAAACTCAGTGTGTGACACCAATGGGGAGACGTCTTTTGAGGTACTTGATCAAACTCAAGAAATCTTCTGTATTATTGCTTCTTATATAACAACTAATCTACACACTTGGACAAATGGTTTTATTTTCTGTAGAAACTGGTTCCTGAGGCCCATACTTGACCTGGAAAACTTGAACAATCGTCTCAATGTTGTATCCCTTTATTCTTCAATCATAACCAGAAAGTACTTGCTTTACTTGAATAGAAATTTCAGTATGGTGGAATGTCAAACACATAATACCAGAACCCTCACTATCTTGAGGAGTCTAGATTAGGTTTTCTAGCAATAACCTTATTCCACTATTATCAAAATGCATAGCCTTTAACGGGATTAAGATATCATTCTTTCTTTCTTCTGAAGAACTGATGGTTTCTCTAAGTGAAACTCTGAAATCCGTGAAGGATGTCCCTCACATACTAAAGGTATGATCATCACAGTTTCTTTTTAATTGTTCACTTATAGATCCTGCATGTGGCAAATGAATTGAACATGTTGCATTATGTTCAACATTTTCCCTCAAAGCTTTACGTATTTTTGCTTTGTAAAACTGAAATATATTTAGATTCTAACTCATCCAATCTATTTCTATAATTGATTTTTTCTTTTCTTGTGGAAGAAATTCAACTCGCCAAGCTCTATGTGTACAAGTAGCGACTGGATGGCTTTTGTAAAGGTATTGCGCACCAACATTTGCCATGCTGTCATTTGATCCTCTTGCTTGTCATTGATATATATATATATCAAGTTATAGATCTTTTATTTGGTAAGATGATCATCTAGATATAACATCAATACCCGAGGACTATTTTAATGATTTCTGTTGAATCTGAATTTCTTGTTCTCTTGGCTAAATACACAGTTGAGTTTGAGAAACCTAACTGTATTGAGAAATATGGAACAAGTGGTTCTAAATTTCTGGAGTCATTTCAGTTAGTGGTTTGATTTTGTCCTAAAAAAATCATCTCACAAGAAGTATGGAGTTTTTTGAGATTTATGCAACACAGTAAATTTAATTTTCCCATTGTTCTTTTTTCTTTCACAGAGCATCTGTTCGCTCTTGCATGTGAACAAGATATTTGAAGTGGGTATTTCTGAAAGCCTTCGAGACCATATGGAGTGCTTGAATGTGGACATTGTTGCTAAGGTATCAAACTTGTTATTTATGAGTGTCCTCTTTCCATGAGGTAGATGTGAAAATTTTATCTATCTGATATTTTCTCCAGGCCAGTTCATGCATCACCACAGATCTGGCATACGTGTATGAATTGGTTAGTCTTCTCACTTTGTAATATTTTATTGACTCCAGATTAAATACTTTATGACGCTAGACAAGGAGGTGCTTGAAATCTGACAATATAATATGGAAATAAATAATTAATAATCAATTATGCCATTTTCTTTTTCTCCATGTTTATCTTATTTTCTTCATGTATATTTGGTTCTATATTTCATTTCAGTAACCATTAAATAAGAAAAATATAGTGAGTAGAAAAATGCTGATTTTACATGTTGTTTACCTTGCAAATTTCTTCTTTTAACAACACATTACGTGTGTAATAGGTTATTGGTGTTATTGATGTAAACAGAAGTAAAGAGAAGGGTTATGAGACACAAGTGAAAGAGGGCTTCTGTGACGAGGTTAGACATTAGTTCTGATTTTTCTGTGATGATGATAGCATGTTTTTTCTAGGAAAGTTTTTGTCCTCCTTACAGAAAGCATCTTACCTTAGTGTTATTTCCATCTGTGAGCAGTTGGATGAGCTGAGAGAAATATACGAGGAATTGCCAGAATTTCTGGAAGAGGTGCTTGTTAGAGTATAAAGCATTTATATTATGAATTCAAAGTACCATTTGTGGTTCCTACATGTATATTAACATAAATTATCATCCTCACAGGTTTCATCATTAGAGCTCGAACAAGTTCCTCATTTACGCAAAGAGATGTTTTCCCCTTGTATTGTTTATATTCATCAAATAGGTGGGTCTGTGTCTCTTCGCATATCCATGTGTCAAAGTAATTCCTGTGATACTAAACATAATCTTAATCTACTGGAAGTGCATCTTAATTAACTTTTAACATGATAATCTTTGTTTGTCTGTTGTAGGATACTTGATGTGTTTTTTTGAAGAGGAACCTGACGATATCGCACAGGCGAGAATTGAAGATCTTGAATTTGCAGTAAGTTGATGCATGCATCATATGACTTGCTAAATTAGTAATTGTCTAATGTAAGATTTTCAAGGCTAATTAAGTTGATATTTTCATCATATTTAAATGGTTGTGAATTTTATTCCCACGTTTATTGCATCTAATTGGAGAATATGCTATGGAAACTCAGTTCTCTGACGCTGACGGAGAAACAAAGAGATTCTTTTATCGTACACCAAAGACACGAGAATTAGATAGCCTTCTTGGAGACATTTATCATAAAGTTCTAGGTATGCTTTGTAATTCATTTCTAAGTGGTTAAGGCTGGCTGTGTTATATATTTACAAGTTTTATTGAGTAACCCATCTCAACAAGCTGTATGCTAGCCCATGCTTGCTGCTAGCAAGTGAAAGGTCATGTTAGATAACAGGGTAACATAATTTTAGTGAATTTCTTTGTTACATTACTTATTAAATTCATTAACGAAGATATGGAGCGGGCAATTATCAGAGACTTGGTCTCACATGTATTAACGTTCTCAACACATTTACACAAGGCTGTGAACTTTGTGTCTGAACTTGATTGGTAAGAATCATAAAAAGTTCTCTTTATCTCTATTTCACTATTTTTCTCTCTTCTCTAAACATTAACGTGTCTGAGGTAGCTGTGTTACTAACACTAATATCTTCATATTGATGTTAGCCTTTTGTCATTGACAATGGTTGCTCGCCAGAACAATTTTGTGAGGCCTACTTTAACCATGGAGACCATTCTTGATATACAAAATGGAAGGAAGGAACTATCTGCTTACAATTTTACAACTCTTTCTTTAAAAAAAAATCTCAAGAGAATTATTATTGAAACTAACTACGTTTTTTTCTAATAAGAAATATCAACTTCATACTGGTCTACAGACATGTTTTGCAGGAAATGGCAGTAGATACATTTATCCCTAATGACACAAAGATTCTTGATGAAGGTAAGTTGAGTTAAAAGTTCAATTGTAGCATGTAAAAAATCTAAGGATAATGCATCTCATCTAGAAAAGCCTGTTCTGAATATTCACTGTGAAGGTCCCCCCCCCCCTTCTCTAAATTACAAGGTTTTGTTATTTTCAGGAAGGATTCATATCATCACTGGTCCTAATTATTCAGGGAAAAGTATCTACACAAAGCAGGTGAGTCTGGTGTACTTTTCTAGTGGAAGCATATTTGTAAAAGGTGTGTGATTCTGTGCGTGCATTTGCTAAGTTTTGATGGATTTATGTAAATGTACCTATTTGAAATGTTAAATCCATGATTCTTTGGAGATTACTACTTTAGTAGCCTACATAATCATCCATTTATTTTACTTACGAATTTATGGTTTTCCTAGGTGGCTTTAATTGTTTTCCTTTCTCATATTGGAAGTTTTGTACCTGCTGATGCTGCAACAGTTGGATTAACTGATAGGTATCTTGTGCTTGTTGCTAAATTCGTTCTTAAAATTGCATATCTCTGTTGGTATTTTTTATTTTTTTTACAGTCAACCATGTTTCCCATTTTCACAGGATATTCTGTGCGATGGGAGGCAAGTTTATGACTGCAGAACAGTCCACTTTCATGATAGATCTACATCAAGTGGGAATGATGCTAAGGTATACTTGATTAGAATGATTATGATAGCTTTATGTCTGTAGGTTCATGAAATGGCATGTTGTGATTAGGGATAATGATTGATAATGCAATTTCGGATATTTGTGCATATCTGACCTTTTTTTTTTGTTTGATTCGGATATTTGCGGATTTGGATGGTGCAATTTTAGTTGTCGGGATTCGGAGTGGATGTAGATATTAACATCTGATATCCACTATCTGAATCTGCTTTACTTTTGTAACTGGTTCTGATTCAAATAACTGAATCATTAATTGCTTTACTAAAAAAATTGTTTTATAATTTCGACTTACTAAATTTAGAGATTTGAAGGATTCATATATTTGGTCGAATTCAGATAATAATGTTGAAATATAATACAAATAATAAATATATTTGGACTTTAAAGTAGATTTGTAAATTTGAATTAGAGTATTACAAAAATTACAGCTTTTGCCATCTCTAATTTGAAAAGAGTTTTGGGTCGATTAGGAAATTTCCACTTTTTATTGTATGATGGTGATAATTTCACAGGCAGGCAACATCACGGTCTTTATGTTTGCTGGATGAATTTGGTAAAGGAACCCTGACAAACGGTTGGTGTCTACCCTTTAACCTGGTTGGACATATATGTAATTTCTGGTTTTGCGGTACCACAAATATATTCATCGAGTTACTGTATCATTTTGAATTTAGATGGCATTGGTCTTCTTGGTGGGACCATAACGCACTTTGTCAACTTAGAAGTTCCGCCGAAGGTTTGCTGATGTTTTCTTCCTCCCACCAAAAATATCAGCTATTGTTATTATCTGATGGGTAGACCTAATATACTGTATTCTCAAAGAGTAAAAAAATATTGCTATCAACAAGTCACTGAATGATACTGTAAGTGTAACCACCGTTGGTCAAATTTTTGGTCCAAGTTTTGTTATGATGTTGTTTACCCGCACTTATTCCATATCAGACACATATTTTTATATTCTGACTTGAGGTGTGATATTGAAAATATAAGGAAAAACTTGGAAAAAGTAATATATTCATAGCGAAATCCATATAAAAATTCACCCTTGTTAACATAGGTGTACCCTAATCTGGAGCTAAGTACTAAAACTGCATAGCTTTTTGCTCAGCTTGTTTAATTACTTGGCTTTCGCATTTGCTACCCTGTTCATTTATAAGCTCAGGGAGGCATATTTGTTGTTTGGCTGCTGATTTTAGTGAAGCATAACATTTATGGTGGTTATATGAAGTTATGAAAGAATTTAAGCGAAATTGAGTAACTTATTGAATGATTGGCTGTGTGATTACTACAATAGTTATCAATAAACTATTGGGGGCATGCGGTATTTGTATTTTGCAGGTTCTGGTGTGCACTCACTTGACCGAGTTATTTAATGAAAGTTGCTTACCAAAGGTACACATTACTGTATTCTCACAATTAAATGGCATGTTCATCTAGAGAGGAATAGGGGAAAACACGCGCACACGCATATACTCATTGGCCTTTTAACTTATTGTTCCTAAAATCTTCCCCTTCTACAACCATTTTCAGTCTGAGAAAATAAACTTTTACACCATGAGCGTGCTACGGCCACAGGAGAACTCTACAAATGTTGAAGACATTATCTTTCTATACCGGTACAGTTCTGTTGCATTTACATCTAAAGTTATTGGCATCACAATAACGTGTTAAAATCTAGGATGCACGGACAAAGATACACAATAGGGGGTACGTCTAAAGTTATTGGCATCACAATAACGTGTTAAAATCTAGGATGCACGGACAAAGATACACAATAGGGGGTACATCATGGACGCAGTCATACTAGGATTTTCAAAAAATTAGGACAGAGTATGGCAGGACATAGCTTTAAAAAATTTCTTTATAGAATAATATACAATAAAAATGTAAAATTAATACTTATTGATTAAACACTAACATGTAAATAGCTTTTGAATTAATTTTTTTTTAAAAATCAATTAAAAAACTCATTGTTAACTCTGTATTTTGAAAGAAAAAATTCTTTGCTTGTTCAGTCGTGTTTGGATGTGTTCAGTCATGTCTTGACTGTTTCTACTCTTTTTTTTTATAAAATAAGGCCTCATTAAAAAACCCCTTCTTATCCTACATGTTACAAACATAACATGAAGGACATTGGAAGGAGGAAAAGAGTGCCTCTAACTTTTATTAATTAGAACAATAATACACCTCCACACCTCAACAGCTAACAACTTCTTACAAAACAGAAAACCATAAATCTGAAAACAAAACACACCCTGAAACTCCTAAATAGGAACTACCAAGGCATAACACCTTAACTATTACACAAAACGTAAGTTCAGCCTATACCAGCTTTAGCTAATTCATCCGCTTCCCAATTTGCTGCTCTCGAGATGAGCCTTGTGATGATACCCTTCCTCTCCACAGTAGAAGCTATATCCCTTACCAACTTTTATTTTCTTCTTTTGATATGTCCCCGTGTGTTCGATACGTATTTTGCAATATCAGAGCTATATCTTTGTCCAACATTTGGATACTCCATCTCAAAGAGCGCCTGTGCTTCATAGCTTTCTATTACTCCCTGAATGAAGATGGCAACTTGAGACCCTTCAAATTTCTTGCTAGTGTTTGTTTGATCTTAAATGTTTCCAAAGACCGACCTAGCTTGTGTTAATATGCATCTTATATTGGGCCACCAGGATGTATCAAAATAACTTCAGATTTGCAATTCCTGGGTCAGAAATATTGGTTTCAATGTACTTGTATATAGCTTAATTCAATAATCAAGATAACAATGATATATGCATTCTTGCAGGATAGTTCCCGGACATGCAGCTCTGAGCTATGGTGATTTTCCTTTATTATTTTTATTCTCTGTAACTTGGGGATTCATTTTGGAAATCTTTACTAAAAATCATATAAATTCTTATATCCTGCAGGACTACACTGTGCACTACTAGCAGGTATGTTCAGAGTTTCTAAGACTGAATTTGTTGTCCTTTCGTCACTATTTGCATAAAAATGATTAAAGCATTTTGGTAGTAAAACCCGGACCGGATCAGCCAATTCAATCAAGAACTAGTTGGTCTAGCGATTCGACCATATAAGTCGAATAAAAAAATTAAGAGCCAATAAAAACTGTAAACCAAGAGCCAGAAAAACTAGTTAAAACTGGCAAAACCAGACTTTTTATTAAGTTTGGACTTTTAACAAAATATTTGACTTTTTCATTATTTTTCGTTCATTTTTATTCGTGTTTTTTTAGTACGACTTATCCTCTTTTTGGGATTTTTTTTATATTTTTTGGTTAATTATTATTAATTAATATTTTTGAAACTTTTAAGATGATCAAATCATCTTATTTAATTGTTCTTTTTTTTTCTTTTTTCTTTTTTTGGTTACATAGGTTGTTCTTCAACTATGGTGAAAAGTGCAATTAGTGAGATGATTTAGTAATTGTATATACAAGTAAAATTATAACAATAATAGTGAAGTACAAAATTAGCATTTGGATGATTTATCATTAACATTGCTATCAATTTTACTTGTTCGCACCAACATAAAATGTAAAAGTGTTAAAATACTCAATTTATAATATAGCTATGATTTTCGGGTTTTTTTTAGGTATCTATGTTCGACACTTGCGTTCAACGTATGGATATGAAGATGATATTTAAAAATCTTTGAAATTCAAGTATTAGATTACTCATTCTATATTATAATTATATTTTTTGGATTTTTTTAAGCATCCGTAATATGCATTTGTGTCCGACAAGCGTATGTGGGCGTATAGTGTTCATGGATTCTCTAAAAACATGGAAATATTTAGAAAAGAAATTCTAATGATATCCGTATTGGGTACATGTATCCAACAATCACTCCAAGTCCAGATATTAACATATAGTTAAGGGATTGTTGTTATCCCTTGAAGTCCCGGGTTCGAGTACTGCTTATATAAGAGTATGAGCGCTTATTGTCAAATAGTTGAGTCTTTGAATAAATACTGCCTTATATTTACCTCTGAATTATCAAATAAAAAAATCACTCCAAGTCCAGATACCAAAGTTGTGTAGGACTAAAATTCACTTGTGATGTAAGATTCCTTTGTCCTCGTACAAATTTTCAAGCTAAATGAATCTAAAAACCTAAAACCTTTGCTCTTGAAAGGATTACATGTTTCCTTGTTCGTCTAGGTGTCCCAGAGGAAGTGATTAGCAGAGCAAGGTTAATCCTGGATGCTATTGAAAATAATAAGAATGTGGAGCGATTGTGCAATGAGAAAATATCATCCAAAGACCAGCAATATAAGGTCCTACTTTCAGAACTTAGAAATGAACAGTATTGACCATCCTACTGTTTGTTTAATGATTTATTAATACTGAAAGTCTCATTGAATGTGCGAAATTCAGGCTGCAGTTGACAAGTTGTTGGCGTTCGATTTTCTAAAGGGCGATCTCAGCACCTTCTTCCAAGATATATGAATTCTTTCATACTAAATCATGAAAAGGTACATATCCCCTTCACTGGCTCGTATATTCTTCAGTTTTGGACCTTTTGGCACATTTTTCATTTTTTTTTCAAGTGAGTGTCATGTACGATTTTATCCGTCATACAATATGAGTATATACTCTGGTTTTCATTAGTTTTTCGCATATTTGAGATTTTAAATCATACTCATGTCAGATTGTTTGTCGTATAATGGCCGAGTTTAAAATTTTTTTGGTTAATACATCTTACTTTGATTTAAAAAATCAAATTTCAAAGATAATAGAATCAAATTGGATTCTAGTGATTTGTATTATAATATAAGTTTAGATAATGGATTCAGGTGAAACAAAGGTCGAATTTAGATTCAAGGATCAAAATAAGAGGATCTAAAAATTTTGGACATAATGATGCGACGACAGCTATTAATGCGATGTGTAGGGGTCAAAATCTGAGTTGGTGCTTATATTAAAGTCAAGTCAACACATGGAGAGATAAACGATCGACTGAACAAAATAAGAAAAATTTAAAAATTTAGTGATTAAATTAAAAAAATTAAAACTCTAGTGATTAAATAGAAGTGAGAATAAAGTTGAATGATGAAAACTGTAATTTAGTCAAAAACAATGACTTTGGTTGCGTGTTCATTGCCATGAATGAGTAAAACGCTGCATTTTCAATATCATAACAATCTCCCATCTCATATATACAAGACATTTCTCTATGGAATATAGTGCACTTATTAGTTAGAATCAGTACATTGATGTAAAAATAAAGTTATACAAGAGAACACATTCTTTGTTTAAAACAAAAGGATATTGAGTTAGGCTCATTGTTCATCTTCATCTTCAACCTCTTTAAAAGATAAAGGGGTCAAAAGGCCTAAAAACCCTATAAGCGGAAATGGCAGCCAAAACGATGAAACAGCACAGAACCAAGGCATGGAGAATCAACGACACCTCTTTTGTTGACGGGTAAGGCAGACAATAACCCTAGATGGTAGTCGGTCAGTAATCCTAGTAGTGGTTACGGGGGTTTCTGATTGAGTTAATATGGTTTTGTTGATGAAGAAGATAATGCGTATCTTTTACTCTCTGTTGTATGGTTATTTATAGTGCTTTGGACAGGTATCGCTCAAGAGTTATCGTCGCACTAATATTGATGGGATGTCCTAGGAAGTGATGACAAGGCTGGTTAGTCATCAAGTAAGACCATGTGTATTGTCATGTGGCCGCCAATGATCGTACGCCAGATATGTTTGTAAGGATTATAAGCGCTTGACGCGTGGTTGTTATTGGTTGTTCGCAAGATACGCCTCGCAGAGCTAGAGGTTCGCCTAGTTGAGGTTCAGAGAACGTGAGGTTCATGTAACTGAAGTTTGCATGTAGTAACAACTTTGCTGCAGAATTTTCCATAACTGTAGCAGGCCTCACTCCATGTGATCTCTTGATCTCCACCATTATATGCCAAGTCTAATATTTCCATCACTTCTGCCTCTGATGTCACCATCAAATATGCTACAATGTACTAAAAAAACACCCATATTTAAGTTCAAAATGTGAACCCCAAATTTATCGAGGCAAGTTGATGGTTCTAAGGATTGGAAACCTGATCAGAGACTAAGAAGAACCAAGCTTTGGTGACAAAATATCTGATGCAAGCGGCAATAGCGGCGAAAAAAGCATAACCAACACATACGCAGAATCATTTCAAAAATTTTCCGGAGCAAAAATTAAAAACTATGCCCTAGGATGAAAATGAAAACTCTCCCCCCACGCCCACCTAGGGGTGTAGTTCATTAAATGTTTGTTTATGTTTATTTGTTAAGGTAAATAAATGAGTATGAACAATTTTTTTTATGTTCATTTAATAAACAAACAAACACGAACATAAGTATGTTCGATTCGTTTATGTTCATGAATAAGTTGATTTATCAGATAGTTTATCAACTTGTTTATTTATGTTCATAAACAAACTCGTTTATTGGATATTTCTCTTCTTTTTCTTTTTTATATATATTTTAAATATTGGTGAAAGTAGAGACTAAACTAAACACACGGTAAAAGTTGAAATTTAAATTGTAAATTTTAGAAAGTTTAAGCACAAGTGGGTGTAGTTTTACCATTTCACTTTAGCTTGAAAATGAAATGGTAAAGCTAAAAATTTAACATATAAACGAACGATAAAAGAACACTAAATAGAACATGTTCATGAACGCTAAATGAACACGTTTGTGAACATATAAACAAACACATTCGCAAACATTAAACGAACATATTTGTGAGCAATAAATAAATGAACACGAACAAAATTTTAAAAATTTAAACAAACACGAATTAAACTTAAAAAGCTTCAAAAATAAATAAACATGCACAAACATAATCTTATTCGTTCAAACTCGATTTATTTATACCGCTGCCCCTACCCCTAAAGAATGGTTTCTATCTACAAAACTCTTACATCTATTTTTACATAATTACATTCACAAAACATACATCGCTAGAAAGCTGCAGTCCACAGAGCGTTTTTGCCTTGTCCACACTGCCAGTGAACGTCTCTAATCCTCTCCACCGACTTGCAAACCCTGTTGCAGGTCCAGTCGAATGAAGTAACGCAAACGTTGCCTGCTTGAGCATTTCACTCGCAATATGCACCAAATGTTGTCATCGTCAATCTTTTGTTTCAAAACTCGGTTTTGCAATGTATACTCTCCTAGAACAGATGGTATTGTTGAATATTCAACAATTGGCAGCCACATTTGTTGAAAGTTGGATTGGCAGCCGGCGGCTGAAGAATTCAACAAATTTGGGCAGCACCAAATTGTTGAAATTGTGAAGGGATAATTATAAAATTGAGTCCTTGAACTTTAGGGTATTTACAAGATTATTCCTTAAGCTTAAACTATAAATACCTTAACCCATTTAGCTTCAAAATCATCCCAAATCATTTCTTTCTCCCACTACTAAAGAGTTTAGAGAGTTTTCTTGTGAGTTGTCAGTGTTTTGTAAACACCTGTAATTTTTCTCTCTTTAGTAAAAGATTTGCAGCAGTTCGGAGACATAGGTATAATTGGCTGAACTCCGTTATCAATTTCGGTTATTATTTTTCCGCTTTTATTTCACATTCTCACTAATCTGGTTATAGGGGAATTACTCGTTTTATTTCTCAACAACTGGCATCAGAGCTTTTGGTGGTGGATTTTGTCGGTTTTTTTGCGAGGTTACTATTTATTACTATTTACGTGAATAGTGAATTTTGTGAATAGTAAAAATTTTGTCGGCGATACGAGTTTGTCGACAGAGGTGTTCTAATATACGGTGGTTCGCAAAAATAGTCAAAATTGATCCAAAACGAAGCCAGATTAGAGTAGGAGCGATGGCTGTAGACGAAGGGAATGTGAAAATTGAGAAGTTCGATGGTGCGGACTTTGGCTTTTGGAAGATGCAGATTGAAGATTTTCTGTACCAGAAAAATCTATATCAATCTCTCTCAGGAAAGTAACCAGAGGGCATGAAGAATGAAGATTGGACTCTTCTCGACAGACAAGCCCTTGGAGTTATCCGAATGACGTTATCATGCAATGTTGCTTTCAACATAACAAAGGAAAAGACCACGGCGGGTCTTATGGTGGCTCTCTCCAGTATGTATAAGAAGCCATCAGCCTCAAAGAAAGTTCACTTGATGAGGCGATTATTCAATTTGCGGATGGCGGAAGGGGCATTAGTGGCTCAACGCCTAAATGAACTCAACACAACCATAACCCAGTTGAGTTCCTTGGAAATTGAATTCGATGATGAAGTTCGAGCTTTAATTCTCTTATCATCTCTACCAGACAGTTGGAATGCTACTGTTACAATAGTCAACAGCTCGTCGGGAAACAGTTAATTGAAATTCGACGATGTTCAGGATCTGGTATTGAGTGAAGAAATTCAACGGAGAGAATCGGGTGAAGCATCAAGCTCCTCAGCCTTGCACACAGAGTCTAGAGGGAGAACTTCAGAAAGAAATTCAAATCGTGGCAGATCGAAATCCAGAAGAGGAAAATCAAGAATAGGAAAGAAAGATTTTAACTGTTATAATTGTGGGAAGAAGGGCCATTTTAAAAGAGATTGTCGAGCACCGAAGAAAGATACCAGCGTACAGGAATCTGTCAATATGACAGAGGAGATAGGTGATGCCATGATTCTAAGCGTCAACAGTTCGATTGAATCATGGATCTTGGATTCAGGGGCATCTTTTCACTCCACCCTATGCCAAGAAATCATGAAGAACTTCATCTAGCTGATGATGAAACCTTAAAGATCGTCGGAAAAGGAGACATCCGATTAAAGTTGCCAAACCAGACCACCTGGAAGCTGAAAGGAGTGAGACATATTCCTGGCCTCAAAAGAAATTTGATTTCTGTAGGACAGCTTGATGGAGAATGATATAGTAAAACCTTTTCAGGTTGTGAATGGAAGATTACCAAAGGAGAACTCGTCATTGCTCATGGTAAGAAGACTTATACTCTCTATGTAACCTCAAATTTGGAGAATATCATTGCTGTAGCAGATGCTGATGGAAAATCAAACCTATGGCACCAAAGGCTTGGCCATATGAAAGAGAAAGGGATGAAGACACTTTTGTCAAAAGGGAAGCTAACATCTTTGGCATAGGCAAAGATAACATCTTTGGCAAACAAAAAAAAGTCAGTTTTGCAAAGATTGGCAAGACACCAAAGGATGAAAAGTTATAGTTGGTTCATATTGATGTATGGGACCATCTCCAGTTCCATCTCTTGTAGTCTCACTATATTATGTGTTGAAACATTTTAATATTTCGATATAACAAATTAAGTTAAATGGATTTTAAGATTTTCAAATTAAGTTAAAGTAATTTTAAGATTTTCCAAACGATTGTCTAAGTATATTCGATATAACTATTCGAATATCAAAACATTACTCCAAATATTTCAAAAATCATTTTTGATCCTTAATTAAGTGTAAAATTAAGTTTTAATCATAAAACAATTTCAAAATAATCTTACAAAGTATTTCGAACCAATTCAAAGCCAAAAATTCCAGATTGCTCAGAGGGAACCGATTCCCCCCCATAGGAGGAACCGATTCCCCCCCTGAATGGTTTGGCTCCGAGATTTCCAGAATGCTCGGAGGGAACCGATTCCCCCCAAGGGGGTACCGATTCCCCCCTGTTCAACGGTCGAAATATTTGAATTTTACACTTAGGGAACCGATTCCCTATGAGAGGGAACCGATTCCCCCCACACTCCAAGCTGTTTTATTAAATGTTTTCACACTAAAACGGCTATAATATCTTCTCTAATTATCCCCAACGTTCAGAAGTGATCCAAGGTGTATTTAAGCAAGCTTAGAAGCCATTGATCAACAACAAGAAACATCAAGCAACTAGAATCAAGAGAGAATCAAAGAGAAAGTATCAAACCTCAAGTTTGAGCATTTCAAGCCCATTTTCATTCAATATTCATTTTGCTTTCAAGAACACTTTTTGTGCTCAGTTGTATTCATCTTTGAGTGTTCTTTTCTTTGTTCTAGAATTGTGCAAACATCTTACCTTGTGAGGTTTTCTTGTAAGTTTGCAAATTTGTAATCTTCTCTTTGAGAAAAGAGTGTTCTCAAGAGTTGGGGTATACTCTTGAGGGAATTGTAAGGTTATCTCTTTGGCCTCAAAAGAAAGAACAAATTAGTGAATTTGTTGGAAAATCCTTAGTGTGGATAGCTAAGGTAGTGGACGTAGACTTTGTTGAGAAAGTCAAACCACTGTAAATCGCTGTGCAATTACTTTCAATTTTCTGCAAAAGCTTCCACAAAATTTTTATTGCCAATTCACCCCCCTCTTGGCCAATTTCGTCATTCGATTAACTCAACAATTGGTATCAGAGCCTAACTCATTTGAAGGTTTAATCGCCTCTTGAGTCGATCCGGGAAGAGTTACATCGATTACAAAGTCATCAATGGCCTCCACTTCAAACTTCGACTCCGGTCTCGATTCGATGCCCGTCAACAAGCCTCCTTTCTTCAATGGAGCTAACTATGCCTATTGGAAGAATAGAATGATGTACTTCATTCAAGCAAGTGACATGGGAGCATGGAATGCTGTAGAAGAAGGATACATCAAACCTCTCACTCATCCAAGGTTGTGGAGTGAAGGAGAGACGAGAATGTTCCAGCTCAACTCCAAAGCCATCCATATTATTTTTTGTGCTCTTGGACCAGATGAATACGGAAGAGTTTCATCGTGTACAACCGCCAAAGAAATATGGGACAAACTTCAAGTCACACATGAAGGTACAGATGAGGTAAAGAAATCAAAAATTAGTATTCTAACGCATAGCTATGAAAATTTCAGGATGAAACCAAATGAAGACATCAAAGCTATGACGGATAGATTTTCAACGATTGTCAATGGTCTCAAATCATATGGAGAGATCATCTCAAATGAAAAGCTTGTGAGGAAGTTAGTCTACTCTCTCCCAAAATCATGGCAATCAAAGAAGACGGCAATCATCGAGTCTAAGGACCTATCGTCCTTAACTCTTGAAGAACTTATCGGTTCACTCCTCACTCATGAGATGATGCTTGAAGATGAGGTGGACCTTGATAAAGTTGAAGAGACACCAAAGGAGAAGGAGAAGAAGAAAAACATTGGAGTTGCTCTCAAATCCACAAAAGATGAGAGTGATTCTAATGATGATGATGACGAGGAAATGGTATTGTTTGCCAAACGGTTCAGAAAAATGATGAGAC